TCTCTCGACCTTGCCCCCTGGGCGCCTCTTCCCCCCCCTGCCATAGGGCTCCTGGGTTTTTTGTTTTTCTTTTTTCTTTTCAATGAGACAGCCCCTTTGAGCACCCCCTCCAAACTAGACTTCTCCCTTCTGTCTCTGCACAACTCAGGCAGAGAGCGAACCCCAACACAGTCCTCCCTCCTGCCTTACCTTCACCTTTGGCCCGTCATCTCCATCTTCAAACGTTTTTTTTTGTTTGTTAAGTCTGACTCTGAAATTTTTTCTTTCCAAGCTCTTGGTCGGTTCTCTCAGAGGAATGAGCCCCCACCCCCACTGACAAAAATGGACCCTGCTCCTACTCCTCCGACTCTTACTGAGATTTGCGGGGTGGCCCCTCACTGCTGTGTAATTCTGAACTGACCAACAGACCTCGGGCTTCGTGCTCCCTCCCCCACCCCCAGACTGGTCCCTGGGCCTTTGGAAAAAAGGTGGAGAAATTGAGTTAAAGAAACTCATCAGTTTCTGTCTGGGCATTTTTAGCAGTAAGCCAAAAGTAACAGTTGTAACAGTTAAAACAGTTGTATGTGACATTTTCGAGTTTTGATTGATTCTAAATTTATTTTTTCCATCTTTTATTTTGAAGACTATGAAAGTGATGACGACTCTTACGAAGTACTGGATTTAACTGAGTATGCAAGAAGACATCACTGGTGGAATCGAGTGTTTGGCCACAGTTCGGGACCTATGGTAGAAAAGTATTCAGTAGCTACCCAGATTGTAATGGGTGGCGTTACTGGCTGGTGAGAGCAACATCTTTTCCATTAAATTTAATTTGGAGTCTGACTGCTGTCCTTTTATAAGTGGGCCGAAGTCACCTTGAACATTCAGTGGGTCTACACTGTTAATTCCAGAAGAGGATGACTTTGAGGCTTGTCTCTGATATAATTGGTACTATCTCCTTTCAGAGACTGACTTCCTGTTAGTTAGGTTTTAGTATTCCCCTCCCCCATGCCCACCACCAGTCCACTCTTCCCTCCCACCTTTCCTTTGCTTATATATATATATAATTCCCCTTTTCTCAAGTTCAGCAAATTTGGTGCATTTGATTCAGTGATAGTAGATAGGAAAAAATATATGACTTAATTATATGTAAATTTTTACTTGTCATTCAGTGCCAACAACTGGAAAAACCTGTGAGCTGGTTGCTAGGATTGTCACCTCTGTAGTGTAAAATGCTCAGTAACAATTTTTGATGATGCTAGAGATGAGCCTGTTTTTTGTGGGCTGGTTCAGATTATTATTCTTTGAAGAACTGTAGAACGTTGATTCTGTGTTAGAAAAAGGACTGATTGCTTTCTGTAATAATTGTGGAGTACATTAAAGAGTTCATAAACATTAACATAACCAGTTAACTTTTCAGACCACATCATTACACAATTGCTGCTATGGATCTAATTCTGTTATTCTTGGAATAAAAGAGTAGCCAGATAACAAGGGGCAGAAATAAGTTTGATACTTTATTTAAAAAAATGTTCATTAGTGTAGAGAATTTTTGAAGTGAGGTTGTTTGTAAATAATCATTTTTTTTTACTTATATTCATCTTACATTGATTTGATGTAAATATTTACACATTTCTATTGATAAGTAGAAAATTAAATGTCTCAATTTGTGTTTTACATACATCTTGGAACAATGGCACAGTCCTCAGTGCCTTTTTGTGAATGCTGTTTTGTGACAGAAATATTCATTGTGAAGGTTTTGTGCTAAAGAGGGGTGCAGTATTTACTCATGTTGTGTACTTATTAATGCTGCTGTATGAAAAAAGTCTACAATTAGAAATGAGATGCCTGGTGTGAGCCCTGGTAGTTCAGATATTCTCGACAGAAATTGTACTTCCTGTTTCATAATTCAGGACATTGCCCTCTGCTTAAACAAGCTCACAATTTGGTGCAATAGGTGGCTGATTATTTTGAGTAAAGGCCTAAAACCCAGACTTAAAGGAGACAAAAAAAATAATCAACAAACAGAAATTTGAAGTCATTGCATGTTATGTCCTTATAGATTAAATTTGATGAGAAGCCAAATACTTGGCAGAAGTTTGCTCAGAAAACCTCAGGACAGAGCAGTGAGAGTTCGTAGGTTCATTTTAGTGACCGATGCCATCAAGCAGTGGATATACACTCTTCCTGAGATATCGTGGAGACTTGGCTGCTGTTTACCTTTTCCGTTCTCTTTTCTGAGCCTTCTTTGTTGACCCTTCTACTGAGGGACACCTTTTTTTAGCAGTAGAAATTGACCATTCCTAATCTGAAACTCAGAATGTTCCAAAATCTGAAACTTTGAGTGCCAACACGATGCCACATGTGGAAAATTTCACAAGAGACCTCATATAAAGGGTCACAGTCAAAACACCACAATGTAAAAATATTGTGTAGCCCACATATAAGGTCCATGAAGCATAAATGAATTCTGAGTTTAGACTTGGGTCCATCCCCAAATTATCTTGTTAAATATATGCAAATATTCTGTAATAGAAAAAGAAATCTAAAACAGTTCTGCACCAAGCATTTCAGATAAGGGATATCCAACCTATGTTACATACATTGGGCTTATAGCCAGGTTTTGGCCCAGGAGCTATTCCATAGGATACTAATATACAGAAAGTTTGTTACAGTGGCTTTAGATTGAGTGCATTTTTTTTTTTTTCAATTTTCTTGGTATAAGTTTGATGTGATAATTGTGATATTTGTTAAGGAGGAACAGTTAATAGACATTAGCCTAACCAATTAACAACTCTGGACATGAATAGCGGGCTGAGATTACATTTAGCTGTAGGTAACTATAAGACTTTGATCATGATAAGAAATTAAAACTAATATTAGGATGGTTGGTTGCTAGGAGAGATGGCATCTAAGAAGACCAGTTAGAGGGCCCTTAAAGTAGTCTGGAAGCACGGTCATGGAAGCCTGAATTGTTAGCAAGGTAATGATGCCCTTGAGAATGGAAAGAAGACAAATGTTTTGGATGTAGAGTGTATAGACCTTTGTAATCAGTTATACCAAGGATGAAGAAGACAGAGTCTGATAAGTATATGAGCCTAAAGAATGGTGCTATCACTTCTAAACTGGAACCTTAGCAACAGTTGGTCTGGCTGGCAAGATCATGTTTGTTTGGGACATTTTGAATATGTAGTCTTGGGTGCTAGAGGAACCTGTCATCTACTTGAAAATGTAAATTTTTTTTGAGAGGTTTTTGCTATAGGGCGCGTGCGCGCGCCAGACAGACAGAGAGAGACAGAGAGATGGAAAGTGAGAAATCACCCCCCAGGGGGGATGGCCACGCTGCTATCCCTTCTCCTCCATTCTCCTCTTGGGATTTTGGGCAAGCACCACACATGCCCGGCATGAGTTTTTTAAACCACCAGGTCCAGGATGCTAACTGCGGTCGACTACATGGGAGTCCAACGACATAGCCATTACGCTAACTGCTGGTCCCGAAATGTAAATTTTTCATTTAGAGTGCCCAGCAGGTAGCATGATGGTTAACAGGCACTAGACTCCCACAAGGCCAAGTACAGCTTGAATCCTCGATCTGGTGGCTTGAAAAATCACACCAGGCAAATGCGCTTATGTGTCCAAAATCCCAGGAGGAGAATGGAGAAGGGATTCCTGGGTGGCCATCCCGGGAGGTGATTTCTCATTTTCCTTCTCTCTGTCTCTTACCCATGAGCACAAGTGCCCTATGACAAACTAAAAAGAAAAAAAATTCCATTTAGGAAGATGTGCTAGTTTCCTAGGGCTATTGTAACAAAGTACCACAAACTAGGTGGAAAAAGACAATAGTAGTTGATTTAGTTCTAGAGGCTGGAAGTCTAATAGTAGTTAGTATTTGTTCCTTCTTGGAGGTTCAAAGGAAAAATATTCCATGTTTCTCGCCTAGTTTATGGTGGTTTCCAGCAATCCTTGGCATTCCTTGGCTTGTGGACATATCACCCCAATCTCTGACTCTGTCGTCATCATATGGTCATCTTCCCTCTGTGCGTCTGGGTGTCTGTGACACAACTCATTTTGGATTAAGGGCCCACACTGCTCATGACCTCATCTTAATTGACCTCAGTTGCCATGACCATATTTCCAAATAAGGTCACATTTTGAGGTTCCAGTAAGGACATGGGATTTGAGAGGTAGACACCATTCAACCCAGTGCAGAAGGCTAGAGGTAGAAATCTAGCATTCTTTTTTTTTTTTTGGACAGTATGGATCTGGAATGCTGAGCGAATATGAGCTCACCTACGGAGAGAATTAATCACAAAATAAATGTAGTCTCACAGGTTTTATTAAATTAAAAGATAAATGTAGATGAGGAGGCCATAAGAAGTGTGTGGGCTGAAGTGTAGTCATAAAGATGGAACTCTAGCTGGACCTTAAAGGGTGCAAGAACTGTAGATAGGCAGAGCTAGGTTAAAAGCCCTAGAACCAAAGGGATTAATAGTCTGAGCAAATTATGTGGAAACTAATTGGGCTAGAACAGAATGTTTGGGTAGAGTGGGTGTCACCAGGTGTATGGAACATCTTGACTATTAAACAAAACCAAACAAAGCACTTTTTTATGGGAAATTTCAACTTATACAAATGTGAGAGGAGAAGTATAATGAACCCCTGAATACTCATCAGTTTCAATAGCTAGCTACTCTTTTCCTGTGAATTCTCCTTTATTCTCTATCCTCGATTTTTTTTTTTTTTTTGGAGATGTTTTTGCTATAGGGCCCGTGGTTTGTTTTTTTTTGAGAGGTTTTTGCTATAGGGCACGTGTGCTCACAGAAAGACAGACAGAAAGTGAGAAACCACCCCCGGGGGGATGGCCATGCCACAGTCCCTTCTCCTCCATTCTCCTCTCGGGATCTTGGGCAGGTACACACACGTACCTGGTGTGAGCTTAAGCCACCCGGTACGAGATGGTCGACTATGTGGGAGTTCAGTGACATAGCCATTATGCCAACTGCTGGTCCCTTCCATCCTTGATTTTTTTTCTCTTTTTTTGGAGAGGATTTTTGTTATAGGGTGCGTGTGCTCTCCAGAAAGACAGAGACAGACAGAGAGACAGAAAGTGAGAAATCACCCCCCTGGGGGGATGTCCATGCCACAATCCCTTCTCCTCCATGGAATCTTGGGCACACATGCACCAGCGTGAGTTTTAAGCCACCGGGTCCGGTATGCAAACCGCGGTCGACTACATGGGAGTCCAGCAACATAGCCATTACGCTAACTGCCTGTCCCCATCCTTGATTTTTGAAGCGATTCTTTGACATTTTAGATTCTTCCTTTTTGGTTAACCTGAATACAGAAGGGAGACATTGCAGGTTTCTAAGTAAATTAGGGACAAGATCAAAAGAAATAGGAAGACATTAAAATTTTATTAGGAAAGCTGTGAAAAGTAGAAGAGGGAGCAGGTCTAGTATATCATTGATTGTTCTCATCTTTTGTTGTTTCTTTCATTAAAGGTGTGCAGGATTTTTGTTCCAGAAAGTGGGAAAACTTGCAGCAACT